TGCCCTTCGGCCAGGCCCTTTCCCTCTCTCCAGCCCATGCCCCCCCGAGGCGCTCGTGGCCCCGGGGCCCCGTTGCCGCCGCGTGGCAGCCAAACGCCCTCCCCTTCATTCAGCCTCCGCCACTCACACGCCAGCTCCCCCTGGCAGCGGGTGGCGGGGGCGCCCCCACTCAGAAATCGCCCCCCAACCCGGGAGGGTTTGACCTTGGGCCTGTGGCCAGCGGGGCCCCATCCCCCAGCTACCTGTCTCCGGGGAGGAGGGGCAGTGCCTCCTCCCAAGGTCCTTGGGAAGCCGGGCGGTGCCAACGGGCCGGTCTCCTTCACGCCCGCCCCACGCCACTCACCCGGAGCCGCTGCCATGGCGACGGCGGGCTGACAGCCAAGCTCTCTTGGATATCGGCTTCCCCGGCCAGAGCCGGAGCGGGAAGAGCTGCGGGCGCTGGCCCCCTGCCGGGGACAGCGAGCAGTCGGGTGGCCATGGGTGCCAGGCCCCTGGCTGTCCCTGCCAGCTGGGCACCGAAGTGCCCTTGTCTCGTCCCACACTGATTCTCTTCGGTGGTTTGGAACGGTGGTGGGACCGCGCAGCCCTCCACACTCCACCCTGCTGGAGGAGGGAACCCAGGAGTTCTGGCTCCCAGCCCCCCCATCTGCAGTAACCACTAGCCTGCAGAGCTGGGGATAGCACCCAGGAGTCCTGCCTCCCCGCCCCCTTCCACCCTCCCCAGAGGTGGCTGCGTTTTGGCCGTGGCCCTGGGGGGCTCTAACACCCCCCCCCCCCGGCAGGAGGTGGTGAGACGCTTCCTGGCCCAAGGAGACACCTTCCAGCAGCTGGAGCAGCTGACGACGCAGAACGAGGAGGCCCTGGTGCAGCTGCGGGAGGAGGAGGAGGTGCTGCAGGCCGAACTGCAGGGCCTCATCTACTCCGGGGAGGCCCAGGTGACGGGGTGAGCTGCCAACCCCCCCCCCCCACCCGGCTGGTGTGTAGAGGCAGGAGGCCCCCCCAGAGCCCTTCAGTACGGGGGGGGAGGGCTCTTTGGGAGTCAGTTCTCAGCTGCCAGAGGGGAGTGGGGGCTAGTGGTTAGAGCAGGGGTGGGGGTGCTGGTGGCAGGACTCCTGGGTTCTGTCCCCAGCTCTGGGAGGGGAGTGGGGGCCAGTGGTTAGAGCGGGGGGGGGGGCTGGGAGCAAGAGCTCCCGCTGTGTTCGCCGGAGCTAAGGGCAGGAGCTCTCTGTCCCTGCCCTGCCCCGGGGTAGGCAGTGCCCACAGCCCTGATGCCCACCCTGCCCCCTGCCCAGGGCCCAGCGCCTGCTGGAGGAGCTGCGAGCTCACCTGCGCCAGGAGGAGACGCAGCGCGACGCGGTCAAGGGGCAGCTGGACAAGGTGACGCGGGTGCTGCTGGTGGCCAAGGCAGGCGTGGAGCACCTGGCCAGCAAGGTGCAGCACATCCGGCTGGTGAGCGAGCAAGAGGGCAGTGCCCCCTGCAGGCCGCCGGGGCCAGGCCGGGCTGCGGGTAGGAAGGGGCTGGTGGACACAGACCAACCCTGCACTGCCTGGTATCGCCACCAGGGGGCCCCTTGACCACGCCCTGGGCTAAACACAGGGGTGGGGGTTGGTGAGTCGCAGGCCGGCATGAACGCTGCTGGGATTGAGGGTCAGGACTCCTGGGTCCTATCCCCAGCTCTGCCACTGACCTATCGTCTGACCTGGGGCTAGTCCCTGCCCGCACTCGTGCCTCAGTTTCCCCCGTGCGGCGGGCCTTGTTGTCCCCGCAGGAGAGCGGGCGCTTTGCTGGGGCCCCGCCGGACAAGGCCGCCAGCGACTACGTGCTGGAGCTGCTGGCGGAGACGGAGGAGAAGCTGCTCAAGGTGCTGGCTGAGCTGGGCGACCAGGACCAGAGGCAGCTGCTGCAGAAAATCACCGAGGAGGAGGTGGGCTCGGGACAGGGCTCCCCTTTTCACCCCCTCCCCGACAGCCCCACCTCGCTGGAGCTGCCCGCTGGCCCGTCCAGCCTCCCCCCCCGGCCGCACTAACACTGCCCTCACTTGCAGTTCCACGCTAACCTGGAGGGGCGTCTGCCCAGTGCCAACGTCCGGGTGAAGCTGCCCGTCGCCCAGAAGCAGGACATGTACTATGGTGAGTGGGGGGGGCGGGTCCCTCCAGGTTGGAGGAGGCAAAGGTGCGTGTGGGCTGGGGGGCGAGGTGGGGGGGGCTGGGAGTGGGGTTGGGGGGCAAGGAGGAGAGGGGAGGCTGGGAGTAGGGCTGAGGGAAAGGCAGGGTAGCACAATGGGTACTGTGGGGGTGAATGGAGCTGTCAAGGTTGGGGGCAGGGTGTGGGTGCGGGGATGGGCTGGGGGGTGAGGTGGAGTGGGGGGGTTGGAGTGGGGCTGGGGGGTGAGGTGAGGTGGTACTGTGGGGGTGAGGGGAGCTGGCGAAGGTTGGGGGCAGGGTGTGGGTGCGGGGATGGGCTGGGGGGTGAGGTGGAATGGGGGGATTGGGGAGT